ATCTCAGTCTACGGTTACAACACTCAAGTCTACAAGTACAAAACACTTAGTCCCAATTCTAGCTTCCTTCCAACAGGAATTGTCTTTGACAGGAATCCAAGACTCATGATGGGCTGGTTAAAGCCTGCCATTGGTTCTCTGGAAAGGAAGCTAGAATTGGGACAAAATGTTTTGTACTTGTAAACTTGAGTTTCATAACTGTAGACAGAGATGTGTGTTTTGAGAGTCGTGATTTGAAACTTGTACATTAATTGTTTTCTGCAAGCAGTGGCGGTTCTACATCGAATTACTCCCCGGGCGAGGCCCCCTTTGAGCGCCCCCCCCCCCCCCCCCCAACCGCCCCCCCCCACACCACCACCACCACCACACCACACCACCCCACCTGCATGAACACACGCATGTTTTCTACAAACAGGCATGTTTTATTAGAACAACTATTGAACATTCATTTTTCTAAGTTGCACATATTTACATTAATTACTATGAAGTTGTCAGAATGTAAAGCAATATACATTATTTACTGTATCAAAATATATAGAATCAAATATACAAAAACAAACAATAACTAAATATTAAGAATATATGAACATAATATATAATAAATATTCTAAATAGCAAAAAAATTTCATACATAACAAACTAAAGATAATCACTACAGCATTGCACTTAGAACAGAAAACACAAACTAAAATTAAAACCTAACCTTGATGCAACGTCATCTATAATGTCATCATATGAAATCTGCTCCCCTACTGAGTGATTGATACTAATCAGAGCCAGGTTAGTGAGCCACCCCTGAAACATAGGTGACCTCAGGTATGACTTGATCAAGTTTTGAAAAGCTCCTCTCAGCTTGAGCCACAGTGACTGGCAGAGCAGTCCAAAAGTTGGGGTAGATCTCCAATAGATCTTTATCATGATCCATAATAGTTTAGAATTGCCTCTGAAATTGTAATTTAAACTGACATAAAAAAAACTGTAGACTACCAAAAATGCCAACTTTTACAGAACAAATCATGTAAAAAATAATCAGTGCAGCCATCTGCAATAAATAAACAGGATAGTTAGTGGTGACTGGGGTGTTTTCTTCTGCTTGTAGAGTTGTTTTATTTATTATTATGTGAACATGATCAACATGTGTTTGTTGTTGTTCAGGCAGGCCACAGACTGCAGCGAGCATTTAACAAATCCTAGTTTGAATCAGTAAAAAACGATTCAAGGACTTTTTTCGAACCATTTGAATATTCGTTTCAATATTTCAGCCCTATTAGGTCTGTTAGCAATTAAGTGACCACATTTAACCGTTAAAATCCCAGTTAACTGGTTCAAAAAATTGAAAACATGCATCATGAGAGCTACATACCTTTATCTTTCTCCTCTTTTTTCTTTTTTTTCCCCCTGAATGGGGCACCTGGTGGTTTTAGCCTTTTTATGTTCATCTCTTCTGTTTGGCTCCTGACTCAGTAAGTTTCGTTTAGTCAGGACTAAACAATTTGACCTTGATGGGGGGGTGACCACAAAATCGTTTTTGTTTTTCCTTTTTTTATTCGGCCATTTCACACAATTCAGAGAAACCTGAAAGAATGATAGGCCTGTGTTTATGATATTATGAATGAAATATGGAAGAACGTTAAGATGTGATTGACTTTAGCCATGTTAATACAGTTGATTCAGCCCCTGCACGCTCATTCATTTGGGAAAGACGCAGAAGTGAATTCCCCCGCCGCACCCCTCCCCTTCCTGTTCTTCATAGACACACGGTGCACGTGAACGTTCTCAGTCAGCAGGAGCGCCTGCAGCTGCAGGAGGCGCCAACTTGCTGTTTCCAATCCAGACACTGTCATATGACAGATAATAGAAAACCTCGGTGTGGCGCAGATTTCCTTTTTTTTTTTTTTTTTTACTCCGCGCTTGTGCGCCCCTTTTGTGTCATGAAAAAATGCCGCCCCGGGCAACTGCCCTGTCTGCCCGTGCCTAAAACCGCTACTGCCTACAAGTTACTAAATGAAAGTTACGTGTTACAAAACAAGAATTGCATGCTACAAAATGAAAGTTACAGTTTCAAAACCTATACAGGTTACAAAGCTTGGTACAAGTTACATGTAATATTGTCCCAATCCTAATTCCATAGTGCTGATGAATGGGTGTGGTTTAGAATGACCTCGAGGCTTGTGTGGAGTATTGGATTGAATGCCCATCAATGACAATGGGAGGAGGTGGGGCGAGTGTGTAAAAACATTTGACTATTCAGCGCCATGCAGTTCAGAGTAGATATTGTAACTACGGTAGCCCACACACATCAAAAAGGCAACAACGTCCAGATTTCCCTCCAGCGATCAGGTCCGTTCTTTGTAAATAGCATGAGCTTGATAGTATAATTGTTTGCCGAACTCTCAAGCCTAACCCACACAAAGCAAATAACTACTACAACTGAGCAGTTAAATTAACACTTTTAACTGATATATTGACTTACCAATCCAGAAGGAAGCAAACTAGCTCTTTTGGCCATTTGAGGAGCGTAGATATCATTGATTCACACACAGAGGAGGGCTGGTGTGAGCTGTGGTTCCCGGTGTTGCATGGATCTCAGGAAGCAGCAGTGAAGATGGAGCGGACAGTCCTGGCCTCCTGTTAGCCGCCTGCTAGCGGAGGAAGGCTGGAGTGTGTTCAGAGAGAGATGGCATGAAGAAGGGACTAGAGGACAAGAAACTTTAGGAGGACTCTTGAAAGACTTTACAACTTATATGTTGGGACTGGTTCAAGAGCTCCAGTATGACGAAACAGTGAATGAGAAACTTGAGGTGAGTTAGGGAGTAACTGAACTGCGTGGAGGCTGATGTCCAGCTAATGGCGGACGGGGAGCTCGTCATACACGGCTGCTGAGACTTGGGCGTGATGAGATCCTGACCGTTTGCATCTTTCGATTTCACTGTTTGTTATTTAAACTAACCGAGTACAGCAACAGTGTTTATGTCCTCTCCTTCTTCTTAGTTTGTTTGGCAGACTGCAAGCAGCCAGGGCGCACTGCTGCCCTCTGCTGTTTGTTTCAACCGTGTTAAAGCACCAACGCAAAATGTGGAGCACTATACCTTTATGTCCCTAAACAGCTACCGTATTTCAAGATGCCAAATGACTATGGCAACAGTTCATATATATGAAAATGTGACATTTCAATCTAAGAGAAACACTGACAAATAGACGTTAGTGAGAAATGATAAAGGACAAGTTTGTTAGCGGGATACACGGACTTTGCTAGTAAATTAGTAGAAATACTGCATGCTGTTTCTTTAAGAAAGATCTCAAGAGGTATTTTTAGTATTTTCTGCCTGCATCCAATACTTTAGTGAGCACAGTGTTATTTGTGTAAACGATGGAAAGCGATGGTAAGCAAACAAGGTTTGTCACTTTTTAGTCATCAGAACTGTTATTTCAAATTAAGTATAATTTATGATTTTACATATAACTGACTAGGTTAAATATTACATCTCTATTTTCTTATTTGTGCAGATGTAAATAAATCAGTGGCATATTTGATGGTGTATTCAGTTTAGGTGATGGCTCTCATAGCTGATTTCACATGAACGTTGATCATTTATGTAAATGTTTCCCTCTACAGTAATTGGTCTGGGGTGTATTGTCTGTATTGTTTCTTTTCTGATGTAAATGCTTTAATTTTGGAGGTTTCCCATAAAGTGCGGCATGCAAAATTGCCATAGATACTTCCCTGTCATTATCCCTCCATAGTTTTATCTTTTCTATGGCAGTTGAGCAGCATTGAAGACAAGTTTGCATGAAAATCACAGCGCTGAGGGGCGGCCTTCTTCTGATCTTCTGTGCATCTCTAATGCATGCCTTCCAATGAAGCACTGATAATAGGGCTTGGTTACATGCCTGTAATTGGCTATTCATTGGGATAATCTGACATCAAGTCTCATCACGTCTAAACCGTGTCCAGAAAAAGAAAGGAAAGTAAATGGTTTGACAGAACTTTACAAAGAAATCTATATATTTACAATGATTAGTTACATGATCCTGAAAAATAACAAATATTTGATAAAGTAGATGAATTGTTTTCTAATGGTGCTTAAGTATTTTTAAATAAGGGGGCCGAAGGACCATTACTTGTTAGATATTCTGTCGTGATTTAAACAATGGATTTAATAATTTATACTACAAAAAACAACTCAGAAATATTGTATTGTGACAAATTCGTGTTTTATACATGACTAATGATTAATGGAAGTCAGACTGTTGATGTAAGAGTGTGGCGTCACCATTTAAGCCAAAATCAAAATGTTCTTTTGAGATTTCTTTTACATTTATAAGTTTGGGGCTGTTTGGGGTGTTGGAGCCCAGCATCATGACCACCCGAGCAGAGGAGTCCCCCTCCCTGCCACAAATCAAGCCACTGGGCCTTGAACCTGACCCCTCTGGACCATCCCAGGGCGGGCTTGTCACATTGCATTCCCTCTGGAGCATTGTTGCCTCAAAAGAGTTCATCAGCGCTTTGAGGGAGATAGATAGTGTGGCCGGTCCATCCAATAAACCTCCTCCATGCCCTCCCCGTTCCCTGCGGTGCTCCCGGTTTTGACACAGGAGACAAAACCCGCAGAAGGGTGGATAGAGGGGGGGCACCATGAATGGCAAAGCACCGAGGAGGCCGAGGGAGAGCAAAGAGGAGGCGGTGTGCCTTTGTAGTTGTGGAGGAATGCGGAAATGTCTCCGCTCCGTGTCAAACCCTCTGAAGGGGGTCAGGCCACATTCAGCCGGCGTGGGAAAGCCAGCCGGAGACGGAGCTCACACGGCCGAGCACGGCTGCAGTTGCATGGGCCCATCCGCGAACATGCGCGAGGAGAAAAAAACAGAAGAAAGGAGAAAACCCGAACAGGAGCGTGCTTTTCGGGGGGGGGGGGGGGGGGGGCTGTATCACGCGTTAGCCAATGTCCTATATGACCCCCCCACCCACCCATCAATCCTACACACACCCCTTTCCCCTCCACTCTGCAACGAGAGTGTGTGCGCGCAAGTTTTCGCCCGGCCCTCCTCCTCCTCCCCCCGCAGTTTGAGAGCCACTGCTTGGGCTGGTGCAGTCTGTGGGATGGGGGGTTAGAGCCTGCAACGTCAACTACCTGTGTGGCCCCCGCACGGAGGACGGTGGACAGGGGATGCGTTTGGTGGAGGAGTTTTATCCGAAACTCGAATGCCTCCTCAGCATTTTATCGGGCATGCCGACGTCACGTTTCACAGCCAGCACAAAAGCAGGTAAAAGAGAAAAGAAAGGAAAAGTTAGGATATTTCTGCAGAACTTCACACCAGAAACAATCTGTCACGCTAAAAACGCGCATTTACAACCAATTAACCCTTTAAACAGCGGCACGGACAGTTCGTGGGTTTATTAGAATTAGGCCATTTTATTATAGCCCACGTACAAATAAATTGGAAAAAATTCGAGGAAGCCAGCCAGGCCAATAGAAAGACCTTTAAAACTCATGCGAGTGGCTGTTTTACACATTTATACCGGTCTGGAGCGTCAAAAGTCAGTGTTTGTGTGTTAACAGGACTAAAGCTGTAGGAAGTTGGAACAATGCAGCACGTGCTCACAGTTTGCGTCTGTTCAAACTGAAAGTTTGACAAACGGAAAGTTGCTTCGTTAGTTGATTAGTGTAGAAACTTAAATAATCCCATTTCCTGTGGGGGTTTGTTCCGTTTCTGCTCTTTTTGCAGGAGTTTTGTTATTTTTACGACAATAACGCGAACATTTCCTCAGCGAACCTAACGCGGTGCGTTACCGTTCCTTGTGCGCCACACAGTTTATTTACTGCTCAGCCGGGATAGAAACGAGTGTTTTTATGGCTGATTTGAAGTGTTTAATTATCATGTGCTTGTGGTAAGAGGACATCATTCTAATGCGCAACAGGAGGAGTGGAGCGGAGGTCTTTTTCTGATAATAGTCGGAATAAAACATGATGACAGTTCTGTTAAACTCTACGAAATGTTAAAACATGCAACCGTCTTCCATCTTTGTCCCCCTGTCACCCAGGCATTGCATGTGCCACCTTTATTCTGTGAACATGTCTTTGTGAGAGGCTGGCTCGTCTCCCTCGCCGGGATTCCCCGCAACATTTTCTACAAGAGACCAGGAGGAGGCAACAAGGACAACATGGACAAGGAAAGTATTGGTGCTCAATATGAGGCCGTGGCTGAGATTGGAGAAGGTGCTTATGGGAAAGTGTACAAAGCCAGGGACCTGAAGAACGGAGGACGCTTTGTAGCCCTGAAGAGAGTTCGCGTCCAGACGGAGGAAGAGGGGATGCCGCTGTCCACCATCCGGGAGGTGGCGGTACTGAGGCAGCTGGAGGCCTTCGAGCACCCCAATGTTGTGAGGTCAGTGGAGTGTCTGTTCAGAGCGTTTATAATGACCACTGTTGTTGATCAGCTTAGTTACAGGCCTGCACGTTTCTATGTAATCGAGCGGAAGTACAGTTCTTTAGTATCCTGTATGTCAGCGATAACCCAAGTATCACAACCAAGTGGATTTATTTCAGTAATGTCATTCAAAAAGTGAAACTTGTAGATTAGATTCATTCATGACACACAGGCTGATATATTCCAAATGTTTATTTCCATAATGTTGACGATTATAACCAATGACAACCAATGAAAATCCCAAATTCAGTATCTTAGAAAATTAGAATATCAATTAAGACGATTAAGACCAATGCAAAAAACGGAATTTTTTAAATGTTGGCCAACAAAAAAGTGTAAACATGAAACGTTTGAGCATAAACAGCAGTATTTAGTTGGGGTTCCGTTGGCCTGGATTACTGCAGCAATGGCATTGCTCAGGTGTTATGAGAGCCCATGCTGCTCTGATGGTGGTCCTGAATTGTTGGGACTGGTGTATACGGCTTGGGATTGTGTCGTCATCATCAACGCGGCCTCCGAGTCCTTACTTGTTGTTTGTTACTGTGTTGTTGTGTTGTGGGGTGCCCCAGGTGATTGCCAGGGGGGAAAAGGTGGAAAACGAGCTAACTTTTCACCGTTTTCCTGCTTGGAGGCATAACCGCGGAGAACAAGTATCTAGCATAACAGTCTCGTCGGCTCGCTTGGATAACAGCTGTTAGGCGGCCAAACATCACATTCCAGAGTATTGTCATTCTGCTAAGTTACAAATGGTTATAAGCAACATGCTCACACAACACACACACATGGATACACACAACCCGGTAGGGCAATGCAGTGGCGCAGACTCACAAAACTAATTTATTTCTTCTGTTGGAGGACAGTTTTGATTGTTTTACTAAAACAACAGCTAATTAAAAATGTACCTCTCATCCAGACATTTACATCCGCTCACACCACAAACAAGTTGGGTGAAAATTTCCAGTATGCGGAGCTGCGGTGACAAGTTGTCGATGGTGCGCCAGTCTTGGGTCTTTCATATGGATCCAAATAGTTTATAATGCTGATTTTGTCCACATACCGGTCCCCAATTTCTCTATTTAATGTATCCTCGTATATTCTGATGTTCTTTTTGGGATTTTAACATGTTTAACACATTTGTTCTCCCAAATCGGCTTCTTCTCTGCAACATACTGTTTGTTTTCATGGTTGGTTTACACTCGTAATAACATAAATATGTCTGCGCACATCCCAGAATGCAATGCATTATTACATGTGATCCCAGCCTTATTGCATCTTCCTTTTCACAAGGTTCAGGTCAGATGAGTTTGCTGGCTAATCAAGAACAGGGATCCCATGGTCCTTAAACAAGGTACTGGTAGCTATGGTACTGTGTGCAGGTGCCAAGTCCTGTTTGAAAATGAAATCTGCATCTCCATAAAGTTGGTCAGCAGGAAACACAATGGACAAACACCAGCAGACATGGCACCCCAAACCATCACTGACTGTGGAAACTTTACACTGGATCTTAAATAACATTGATTTTGAGCCTCTCCTCTCTTCCTCCAGACTCTGGGACCTTAATTTCTAAAGGGAATGCAAAATTGACTTTCATCAGCGAACATAACTTTGGACCACTCAGCAGCCGTCAAGTCCTTTTTGTCTTTAGCCTAGGCAAGACCCTTCTGACACGGTCTTTTGTTCCAGAGTGGCTTGACACAAGAAATGTGACAGCTGAAACATGTCTTGTATATGTCTGTGCGTGGTGGTTCTTGAAGCTCTGACTCTAGCTGCAGTCCACTCTTTGTGAACCTCCCCCACATTGTTGAATGGGTTTTGTTTCACCATCCTCTCCAGGGTGCGGTTATTCCTATCGTTGTACACTTTTTTTTCTACCACATCTTGTCCTTCCCTTCACCTCTCTATTAATCTGCTTGGACACAGAGCTCTGTGCCTCTTTAGCAATGACCTTTTGTGTCTTGCCCTCCTTGTGTAAGGTGTCAATGGCCGTCTTTTGGCAAACTGTCAAGTTGAAAGTCGTCCTCCATGAGTGTGTAGCCTACAGAACTAGACTGAGAGATCATTTAAAGGCTTTTGCAGGTGTTTTAAGGTAATTAGCAGATTAGTATGTGGCACCAGGGGTCTTCAGTACCGAATCTTTTCAAATATTCTAATATTTGGGGATACTGAATTTGGGATTTTCATTAGGTGTCAATTCTAATCATCAACTTGAAGAAATAAAAATTTGAAACATATCAGTCTGTGTGTAATGAATGAATCTAATAAACAAGTTTCAATTTTTGTATGAAATACCTGAAATCATCTTTGTCATCATATTGTAGTTTTATGACCAGCACTTAAATCACTTTTCAAATGAGGATTTAAGTTACACAAACCAACCTGGCTAGGGGTGGGAAGGGATACGTTTCTATCAATATCAATGTTTCTGTCTGTCAATTCAATTCTTTTGCAGTTCTTGAGTAGTTCAGTGGGTGGCAATAAATACTTGCACACGGTCTCCTGCCTTATAGCTGTCAGTTTATTGATTAAAATAAGCAATTATACCTGGAATCAGTTGGAAAGATGTTTCCAAATGTTTTCTTTTATGCTCATTATGAAGGTAGAGCCACCTTGTATGGTTTAGTGTTGCTGTAGCTTTTTCAAAATGGCTAAAATCTCACGACAGGTTAGACTTTAGTGGCTGGAGTCTGCTAGTGTGGAGGTGTGTATAAAAGGCAAAAGACGCTAACATGATAGGCAGTGTTAGCATCTTAGCTACCTGTGGTATTAACAGGAGAGGACGTACAAACATTGCTGCTGCTGCGTTGAAATTCACTGGTCCGGAGCTGGTGTAAACACCACCTTCACCCTAAGTTATCTCATATTTTTTGCACAAATGCCTTTGCATATTCCTAAAGTTTCCTCCCATTCGTGAAATATTCACTTTGCAAGTATTTTAAGTTGCACTGTTATCTTTTTTTGTAAAGTATAACTAAACCTTTGAGCATTTGTGCAGCTTAAACGCCATGTATCCTGCTGAGTAAATGCGTAAGTTACGCAACGTGCGTGGTAACGTCATTCAGGTCGACTGGAATTGATAAGGGAATTGTTTGCAAAAATGGCAAATAATTCCTAGGGATCGAAACAGTTGGAACTCAACAAGAACCAGTTTTTGAATCCCACTCCTAAACTTGGTCCTGATTGTCCATCTCATGCACATGCTCTCAGATCTGATTATCCAAAAGGCTGGCTTCATATCCAATACCCACACTCAGACTTGATCAATATCAAACCTGTAGAATCAATAAATTCCTTCAAGAACCTGTCAGAGAATACAGAATAGAACAGCATGCACTGTTTTAAATACATTCAAGATTGAACGAACCCGTTAAAAACCTTCCTGACATCATATTGTTAAGGTCAGAGGTCATGACTGAAGTTGAGGCCAAAAAATTGAATCGTGGGAGAATGCATAGTTCAAGACCTTTTCTGACCAAAAACAACACAGTGACCCAGCTCACAGTTACCAAAAAACATGTCGACAGGGACAGCAGTAGCTCAGGAGGTAGAGTGTGTTATCCGATAATCGGAAGGTTGCAGGTTTGATCCCGGCTCCGACCAAAGAATGTTGCAGTTGTGTCCTTGGGCAAGACACCTAATCTGCCTTGCCTGCTGGTGGTGGTCGGAGGGACCCGTGGCGCCAGTGTTCAGCAGACCTCGACTCTGTCAGTGTGTCCCAGGGCAGCTGTGGCTACATCATAGCTCATCCTCACCAGCGTGTGAATGGGTGATTGTGTTGTGAAGCGTCTTGGGGGGTCGTAGAACCCTAGAGGTTAGTTTATGCTTGACGCGTCCGCGAGGTCTGCACAGCTCCGCGCGGAAAAGTTGCGTCATTTTGCGTCATTTTAACAACCACGCCCCTCCACCACGCCTCCGCACGGCCCAGAATTTCCACAACGCGCACCTCGGAAAATTTCTAACCGGACGGACAGACGCAGAAAAACACGGCGGACCGGCAAGAACTAGTATGGCAGAGGTTCGTAAATACAGACATTTGTATGATTCGGCTCTCAGAGATCACCGTGATCAACATGTTGTGAATAATTCTTGGAGAGAAATAGCTCGCACTCTCGGAAAAGACGAGGACGCTGTTAAAAATGCTGGAATGCCATGTTTTAAACAGTAATTTCTACATTTACCATTTGATGATCTACAAGAGTAGAACTACAGCTCTGTACAGCATGGTTTGAGTCAGCCCATCTTTGTGTAGTTTTGTTTCTATGCCAGCTCCATGCCAGAAAGTGGGTGCGCCCCTGATAGGTGCTGGGGGGGGGGGGGGGGGGGGGGGGGGGTAATGACAAAATAACATGAGGTGATCAGTAAACAGTGTAAGGTAACTGGTTTGCTCCACAGAAACTCAACTCAACTGAAAAACATTGCTTGTTGCTGGACATTCTGCTCAGTTTTATGGCTTTTTATCAGAACCAGGAAATGGCTGCAGGCAGTGAAACAGAAGGCAAAAAAACTCTGGAGCAACCAGTTACTCCGCCCCCTAGCTAATTAGCGGCCAGAATCACGATGCTGGCCCAACTCAGCCTTTCCAGGTATGTCAACGGAGCAGGGACTAAAAGTAGAGGAGAAAGTAGAGGGAAAATACAGAACCGTGCCCTTAGGAACAGTGGTAGAGCCGACCTGCATCGGTCCGAGTTAATCTGAACAGTGCTTCTGGAAACTACCTTAAAACATCCCCAACAGTCAGACATGGTGGTAGTAGTGTGATAGTCCGGGGCTGCTCCGCTGCTTTAGGACCTGGACCACCTGCTGAATTCTGCTCTAGCAAAACATCCTGAAGGAGGACCTCTGGCCAAGTGCACTTGGGCTGGGCAGTAGGACATGGTTAACTTTGAGTAACTTTAACAGGTGAAGGTCTGGGTGGGGGATTGGCCAAAATCCAGACGTAATTGTAAATGAGATGCTGAGCTTAAATTAGACATGAAAAAAAACTGAGTTTAGCTAAACTTGAACTCTGAAAAGAAGAGCTGATCAGAATTCTTCTACAGCAGCATCTAAAGAACGCTAATGCCATCTAAAGAAGGGGAAGACTTACTTTCTACACAAACCTTTTTTATTTCAGTAGTTTTGAGCATGACTTTTTCTGCCAGATCATATCAGTAGATGGATATCATTTTACATCTGAACTTTATTCATTTTTTTATTGACCTTTTTTTTTATCTTGGCCTATAATTGGAACCCCAGGTTTGTTGACGCTGATTTGAAATGTTTACCTGTCCTATACTGTTTTATCTGTTTAGAAGTTACCATAGGCTTAATCTTTTTACTTGTGCTTTGCATTTGTTATTTAAATTACCTTCATCTGTGTGATTAATAATTCTATGGTTCAGTGTGTTGCTGAACAAAACTAATGCATATATTGTAGCTAGTAAGCCCAAGGTCCTCTGGAAAGATTTTCAGTTTGGCACAAGTTTTTATGTAAATTTCACAAACTTTGATACATTATTTTGATTTGTGTCCAAGCTAGAGGCTGACCGATATGGTTTTTTTAAGGCAGATACCGATTTTTAAAGAATTTTGAAGCCTATATATATATATATATATATATATATATATATATATATATATATATATATATATATATATATATATATATTACACATTTTAGCAGCACATTGATTGTGAAAGACAACTGAACACTCACTCAATATAAATGAAACAAGTCAATAAATCTCTTAATATTTATTGAACTTCAAATATAAAACAAACTAAACAATTTTTAAAAAGTGTGTTGGGGTCCCTTGGGTGCTTTCTTCAGTCTAGCTTTTCAAAAATTCAGCCGATGTAGAAAAAAATTGACTAATCGGCCGATATATTGGCTATTGGTTGGCCTCTAGCCTAGGCATGTGATTAGGTGAAATGATTATAGTTCAAACCCTTTATAGGGCATTCATGCATGGGACTCTGTGTATGGTTGGTTTTTGGTTGGGATTTCTTGGTTTTTGAGCTTAAAAGAGGCGTAATGTTTTAAAACAACTCAATATCAAATGAGATGCAGTTCTTTTGTTGAAATCTGGTCTGCAGTATTTGATCTTAGATCTGTTCGTCTTTCCTACAAATATCACCACCAGCTGCCACTGGTTGCCGCTCTGACTTTGTTGGGGTGTATTGTCTGTCTGTCCTAACTGCCTTCCACTGCTGGCTCTGCACACAAATGCTTTTTTGTCAGTTTAGCTTTTTCTCAGGGCAATAGTCAGAATCTGCGTCATGTGCTGGCACGGACCAAGGTCTGACCTTGTGCTTGTTTTATTATGGAATATGGAAAGCTTTGGGATTGAAAGGGATGTTCTAAGTGGATGTTTCAGAGGCATGGCATGTGCCCTCTTACATCTAACAATAAATCCTTAAGTAAATAATGGAAGTGAGCAGTGGTGGAGAGACAGTTCAGTGAGTTGTTGTGGGTTGGTTGAGTTTATTGTTTACACATATTTCTTGGCAGTTCTTTATTCAACACAGAGCTTTTAGATGGGGATTTAACATCCTCTGTGTTATAAGGAAATCTTCGAGGACTGGACTTCCCTCGGAGTATCAGGAGTTGTCATAGTGCCGGATGAGGAATGTTTATAGCCCTCAGCTCTTTGTGTCACAACGTGCCGGTGAGTGAGGCAGATTCAAGGATCCACATGCGGGTGAGGGAATTTGGCAGGCAGACAAACCAGAATGAGTTTAGAGTCTTTAATCTTGAACACACGCTGGACAATGAAACAATGAGCCAACAAGACAAAATGGACTAACAGGGTTTAAATACAGGAGGAGCTGGGACCTTGGGTGATTGGGAGACGAGAGGCAGGTGGGAGCAATTAACATGGACACAGGACTAAACAGAATGGGGAGACCGGACAGGGTGTGACAGAACCCCCCCCCCCCCCCTCAAAGGGCGGATTCCAGACGCCCCCAGGAACACAGAGCAGGGCGGGAGGAGGGGGAACCGGAGGGAGGGCCGAGAGGAACCGAGGGACTGATGGAGAGGAGGCAGGGACCAGTAGAGTCCGGGGGCCTGCACCTGGGGCAGAGGAGACGACGACGGGCTCCTGGGGGCCTGCGTCTGGGGAAGAGAAGGCGGCGACGATGGGCTTTTGAGGGCTTGCGTCTGTGGCAGAGGAGGAGGCGATGACGGGCTCTTGGGGGCCCGCGCCTGGTGAGGGCAGGACTGGAGGTGACCGGAGGCAGAGACGCCGGAGGACACGTCTTTGACTTCTGGACTGGAGGCGGCGGCGACGACGACAAACTCAGGGGCTGGAGGCAGCGGCGACCTCTGGAAATAAGGGAGCGTCGACGTATGGACACGAGGGAGCGTCGACGTATGGACACAAGGGAACGTCGACCTCTGGACACGAGGGAGCATCGACTTCTGGACACGAAGGAGCGTCGACCTCTGGACTGAAAAGAGCGTCGACCTCTGGACACGAAGGAGCGTCGACCTCTGGACTGGAAAGAGCATCGACCTCTGGACTGGAAAGAGCATCGACCTCTGGACTGGAAAGAGCGTCGACCTCTGGACTGGAAAGAGCGTCGACCTCTGAATTGGAGAGAGCGTCGACCTCTGGACTGGAGAGAGCGTCGACCTCTGGACTGGAGAGAGCGTCGACCTCTGGACTGGAAGGGGCGTCGACCTCTGGACTGGAAGGGGCGTCGACCTCCATCGACTTCTTGTCCGGAGGCGTCGACTTCTGGTCCGGGGGCGTCGATTTCTGGTCCGTCGACTTCTGGACCGTCGATTTCTGGACAGTCAACTTCTGGTCCAGGGGCGTCGACTTCTGGTCCGGGGGCGTCGACTTCTGGACCGCCGGCTTCTGGAGTGGAGAAGGAGTTGCTACAGACGGGACCGCTTGGACAGGCTGGACCGGATGCGGTGCGACCTTCGGGACCACCGCTAGAACTGCATGTGGTGCACCCACCGGGACCACAGCTGGAACAGGATGCAGTGCGACCTCCGGGACCACCGCTGGAACTGGATGCGGTGCGACCTCCTGGACCACCGCTGGGACGGAGCTGACTGAACTGGTGGTGCCGGAAACTGGGAGGGCAGGGAGGATAGATTGTCCAGCTGGAGCTCCTGGAGACTGAGGCTCTGATGGAGTTGGGCCAGCTCAGCTCGGAGACCGGCGAGCTCTGCTGGGTGGACTGCGGGTTTGATCCTTTGGCCAAGAGATGAGGGAGCTGCAGACTAGGACCGGAATCATCTCCTGGTAATTCGGGGAGGATAGGGTGTCCAGCTGGAACTCCTGGAGGCTGACGAGCTGACGGATCCGGCCAAGCTCCGCCTGGAGGCCGGCGAGCTCTGTCAGCTGGGCTGTAGGCATGGTCCCTCCGCCTGTAGATGACGGAGGTACTGATTGGACCGGAGATGGGACTGCTGGTCTGACTGGGGGCGGGTCCAAGCTGGCGCGCCGAGCCGGAGCTGCAGCGAGCTCGCGGCTCTGTCCTGGGACCAGGGGTGACAGTGGAGCCCGGCATCCTTCCCAACGCCGTGGGCCAGCTCCGGGGAGCACACAGCCAGTCTGGAGCCCACGTAGCAGGAGCGGTCTAGCTGCGTCTCCTGGTCCAACCTCACATCTAGCTGTGGGAGGGCGAAGGGGATCGTCGCAGCCGGGGTTCGGCGACGGCGTCTGCGACGAGGCCAGAGGAGGAGAAGCCGGCCGGTGATTTGCGGTTAAAAACTGGAGCAAACACTCCCAAGGAAGAACCTCCCCGCTGGATCCTTTACAGGGTTGGCTCATTCTGTCACAACGTGCTGGTGAGTGAGGCAGATACAAGGATCCACATGCGGGTGAGGGAAACAGGCAGGCAGACAAACCAGAATGAGTTTAGAGTCTTTAATCTTGAACATACGCTGGACAATGAAACAATGAGCCAACCAGACAAAATGGACTAACAGGGTTTAAATACAGGAGGAGCTGGGACCTTGGGTGATTGGGAGACGAGAGGCAGGTGGGAGCAATTAACATGGACACAGGACTAAACAGAATGGGGAGACGGGACAGGGTGTGACACTTTGAGTAGGACGTATTGGATAGCTTGTTTTCTACAGCTTTTCATCAAGGTCAGCCTTGGCAGGTCTACAGACATCATCTGAATTCTTGGCTTTAGTTGTCTGCCAAGTGACCATTAGGTGAAGTCTTGATTTTCCTACAGTTTCCATCACATTGTTTTTGCATGGTGATTGCAAAGGTTGAGTCAGCCAAATGGATAAAAAGCAACAAAAGGTAAAGATTCTGATAGGCTGCATTAACGCAGTGTCACATCTTGTTTTAACGATGGCATAGGAGCCAACCTCCAAACTGGACATGGTGGTGGTCGAAGGGATCATGTCACCATTGTTTGGCAGCCTAGCTTCTTTCAGTGTGTGTCAGGGCAGCTGTGGCTACATGTAGCTCATCACCACTAGTGTGTGAATGTGTGTCTGTGTGTGTGTGTGTGTGGGGGGGGGGGGGGAATTAATGACCATGGGGGGTTGTAGAACAGTACAAGGAGCTATATCCATTTACCATTTGTTTCCTTTGTTGCAGGTTATTTGATGTTTGTACGGTTTCTCGGACAGACAGGGAAACCAAACTCACTCTGGTCTTTGAGCATGTGGATCAGGACCTGACCACCTACCTGGAGAAGGCTCCTGACCCCGGAGTACCACCGGAGACCATTAAGGTAAGCACCACCACCTTGTAGTGATTCAGGTAGGTGACTATTTCCTTAAGTCTTCATGAGTGGCATGTGCTTGCATGTGAAAACATTACTGAGGAATGCATGAATGATATTTCAAGACACATTTCAAAACATGTAGGAACCCAATTTAAAGGAATATTTAGTTTCTATAAAAGGTCTAAAAGCAGCTGTTGGCTTGTGCTCTGTGGTTGAACACAGCCATGTTTCTTTAGTTCTGGATGAGGCTTATGGGCCGGAGACTCACAAGACATGGAGTAGTTCCTTCAACGTCAGAGGTATGGGTGCATTCAGAAGGGCAGCACATGTGGCCGATGGGCTCCAAATTAAAGACTTCGCTATTTTTACTCTTCCCTTCAACTTTACAGTGTTTAAAGAAGTTGAAAGGAAAACCGTCTTCACTTTAGTGTAAAAGCACCAACCCTCCCCAGTTTGGTCCCAGCGGTGCATCATGCTCATCTTTCTGCTAATAGGAACGTATTTTAACTCATGTTCAGTTTTCCTTTCAAAAATATTCAAGGAGTTTCTGCCTACACTTTGCCGAAGTGGATGTGTTATTTTTAACGTTTTCTTTTATTAGAACCGTTCCGGGGCACAAAAAAATCCCCTTTTAGATATTTCTTTACAGAGTATCACCCTAAGGTTTGTTGGCGTATAATAAACAATATCGGAAAGGAAAATACCTAGGCTTGAATGGAGAGGGCCTGAGTAGTTTGAGATTACACATTTTGAATTACAGAGCTTCTAAAGCCACCGTTGGTTCCCCCTCGGGCCCAGGTAATGTTTTGTGTTTAGATGTAGGTGGATCACACCTGGGGTTTTAGCTGGAGTTGATACAAAGATGAGATGCTGGCCCTTGCCATGTCCTGACTGCGGTTTGATTCCCTGTGTCGGTAGTAATTCAATTCAAAGCTACACCTCTTGCCAGTACTATGTCTTAAACTTTTTTGGGAAAAATGTTGGGGGCTGCTTGTAGATCTGCTCCTTGACGTTTGATATTCTAATGATTAGAACGTCTAACAGAAGTCTTTATTTTTTATAAACTAGATTGGCTGGTGCCCCTCAGGCTACTTGGTACCATACGCAGTGTCTTGATGCTCTGGCTCAGTTAAAATAAATCAGTTTACTCTGCAGTTAAATGTTTCCACTCATTCATTTGGTGTTCCTGCAACAAACCAACACAGTTTTCATGCTAGAGTTTTAACTTAGAACCATCGTCTTTTGATTAACCCTTTGGTGCATAATGGTCACTACAGTGGACAGGTACTCAAAATTGTTATTTATTTATTTTTGCTATTAAGCACAGCTGTTGAAGACTATTGCATTTGAGTCCCTCCATTTGGACTTCAGTAAGTCAAGCCAACATATTTCATGCTCCGAATGCACGCGGTCCACTGAGGTGGACATGTAATAAATTATTTGTAAATTAACAAAATGTTACAAAAAATATTTGTTGAAATTTGTTTCCTTCACACCTAAAGATGAATAAAAAAATTGTTTAAAAAATCATGGTTGAAGATTTCATAATTCATGCATCAGAGGGTTAATGGAGGAAGTAATTTTGATCCAATCTTGAAAAGAAAGTTTTACATATTTTTTCATAATATTGCATGATCTTGTGCAATCTTTTAGCACTTAGATTGTGTTGTGAATGATTCTCTGCAACATTTGCATCAAAGTTTAGCTGGAAAACATTGAGCTTTAACCCAGCGTGTGCATGCTTTTGTCAGGTATCTATGTTAGCCACCTTAAGGTGGGTCGACTTTAAAAGCTGTAGGTGTTTCATTGAAACCCTTTTTTTGCCTTTCAGAGGCAGGCACCAATCACAAATCATCAATTGAGACAGAAACGCCCTGCGAAAGTGTGAGGTGTAATTATTGAACATCGAACCAACAGAGCAGTGAACTCCTAAAATATGTTAGGACATCCCTCAGTCTAATTCCTGTGGCACAGACGAGCTGCATTATGTGGACTTTACTTATAGAGTTGTATGTTTTTGAAATTTGCACATATGCTCTGGTCTGCTGCCCTCTCACACCCCCACAACTCCATCTTTGGAAGAGTTAAAGAAACGTTTGTATCCTGTTCAGTAGTCACACACGCTTTAAAGCACGCTGACCTATTAAAATACCCCTCGCCTTATGCTTTCGCCTAACATCCATTTAGCTGGACTCTCCAGAAGACAAAAGGACAAGGATTGACAACACATCAGAATCACCACCCTGTTATTTCTAGGACAGTGGACACTGCACAGTGACCTGAAAGTGACCCCATCCCCCACATATGACAACATGTTTTAGTGCATCTCATTATGTTCATATCAAAGGTTCAGCTGTGGAGATTCAAACGTGTTCCCCCTCAACTAGAAAGAAACATTTACGATCAGCTGCAAGCCCATCATTAAAAAGAGCAGCCAAACTTTAGCCTGAAACTGTCCATTCTCAGCTAGACACCCCACACTGGCCCAGCCTGTCCACTTCAGCCTCCCATCCTCCACCACCCACTCAGACTCCAGACCCACCACATGGTCATTGATAAAAGGGGCCCTCCTCTAGGAATCAAATGAGCTGGAAGGACATCAAGCAGCTCGGCTGCCCCAGCTTTGGTGCTCCTCAGCTGGGCCGGCGTTGGGTCTCGCCCACCCTCCTCCGCCACCACCATCCAAGCTCCCACTACTGCATTCTGTGGGCCCATGAAGGGGGAGATTAATGAAGCACGGGGAGGGAATTACATTAACGCTAACCGACAGATGTCCTATATTGTGCCTAACTACAATAAACAATATGGCTGCTTTTGTACATTTGCATCAGAAAAGAAGGTGAACCCAGAAAGCCATGTTTTGGCTGCTTTTTGAGGTTCGCTATCTACTTTCTTCACAATCTTTTCTCCCTTTTTTTTTCTTTTCATGGTCAGATGTTCCCTTTTTATTAAAAAAAAATTTCTTGTCAAGTTGTTGGCAGCGCATTAGAACTTGTTCCAACAAAATTCGTTGTTCTTGTTCGGCCATGAGGTAAATTACGCGAGCACGAGCTTTCCTGCTTATAAAAATAAGGTTGCCACCAACGATCAGTTTAGTAGTCGACTAATTGCCACATTTTGGGCGATTAGTCGACTAATCGTGTCATGCATGAATTCTGGGGTGAACTGCTTGGTCGTTTCTTTGAAACCTTGGTCGCCGACCAACATGTTCAAAATGGCCTCGGTCAGGACGTTTGCTTGTCGAAGTGCATACGGTTGGCTTTGATGCAAAGTCACCCAATAAAGAGAGCTCTGTAATGTAGCGGGACGCAATAAATCATTAGCATTTGTAACGTTGGAGCAAAGCGTGACAAATGTGTGCTAAAGGTAATTAAATCTGCAATGTCTTCTATTCTAAAGATGAGTATTAAATAGCTGCATCATGTGATCATTGTCACATCTGGGTAGTCGGGTTCCCTCTAAAGTCTGGTTGTACTGAAGGTGGAGGATGTGTTAATTTGACTTGCTGCTAGTCTTTCTGCACACTTTGACTTTTGTCTTGTGCTTTCATCACTTCCTCCTTGCTGAATCCATCATTTAGCTAAATGACTGAAGCCTTTTTTGGGAACAAACATCTCCTCCACCAAATCTACGACCACTCGCACTTGTACCCATAGCCTGCAGTTCGCCGTGGCTGCCCGCGGAGCGCTGCAGCACTGAGCAGAATGCTGCTACGAGCAGCCACGAATGGCGAAAAACCACAGCCCATGATTAGAAACCGACACAAAACCATGAGCTACACGCAGCCTGCCGCTTCCGTATTTGAATCTATGTCCATTTCCTTATTTTTCCCTCCTGGTTAAAGACTAGATGGGGTGGAGTCACGTGACTTAACGTGACTAGCTGTGACGCGGACTCGACTGGTCTGCGTCACAGCGCCTTAAAGAGACATGGACATCAGTAACCTACTCACGTAATGGTACATGTTCGGTTTACTGACCAGCCCGAGTCTTGTTACAAAAGCAAACATCTGAAATGGGGTTCGTTGTTGTAACTGATACTATGGAGAAGACCAACAGTGGAGGGTTGGTGTCCAAGAGTCACACCTCTGACATAATTGGTGTTTACTAGGAAATGCTGAAAGGAAGCACAGTGTAATGACTATTTAAAGCAGCGAGGGACTTTTGGGTGGGGGAATACTATTGTGTCGGCCCCTGAAAACACACACACACACACACACACACACACACACACACACTACACAAAACGACCAACTGCCTGCCTTCGTCCTATGGCCGTCTGTCTGCTGCCCTTCACTGAGGGTCACGGCTGGATGGAGACGTAGAAAGGGAAGTCTGTTTATGTGTCCTTTTCCTGGTCAGAGGGCACCCACACACGTGCATGTGTTTGTACACCGATTGGTGCACCCTTTACATGTTGGTTGTGAGTGTGTAGATACACTAACACCACACTTAAAACAATGTAAGGAGGCATTTCTGTTTGTTTGTGTATCGAGACACACACCGCTCATCATCTCCGCCGTACTGAGGGGCCGAGCACAGCGGCCAACCCAGCACCATTTGCTGGTGTTTTCCGCTCGAGTGCGTAGACTTCTTTGACTCACACACCAGCTGGTCAGCCACTGAATGAAGCTGTGGGCCCGAGTCCATGTCATTTGTGAGGTCTTGGAGGGGGGTTGCGGTGGTTGGGGGACTTATCTGGTTTCTAGAAGACATCATCATTTTAACCCTCGTTCTACTCATCACCTCCTACTCACTAAGTGGATTATGGTAGAAGTGTGAATCAAACACTCTGTCAGACTTTATTAGATCAAGACTAAGCGAGAACTCTGCTCAAGCTACCTAGCCCCAAATTCTTTGTAACTTATTTGTTCGCAGGTGTGAGACCTGTTTGAGAATATTCCGGTTTGAAAAGAACAAGTCTAAGCTGGTTTCAGAACAGTTCGTTCCTTCTCCCAACAGTTTACTTTTGCCAGCATGACATGGATAATTTGTTGTCGGAGGTCAGTCTTTGGGCACATACAGAAAGAAAGCGCCAATTAACTAAAGCAAGACATCTGCTTAGTAACAGAGATCTGTGCTGTACAAAGCAGGCGCCTGTTCGTGTGTGTGTGTGTGTGTGTGTGTGTGTGTGTGTGTGTGTGTGTGTGTGTGTGTGTGTGTGTGTGTGTGTGTGTATCAAACATCTGCCACAGGCCTCCTCTCATTAACTTCTTCTATGCTAAGCTGACTTTGACACTCAGCTCCTTGCTGCAGGTTCCTGTCATTCATGTCTTTTGTCATAGAGTTGAATGATAAAACTGAATTGTTGTGGGGATTTGAAAAAGCCATCTGTCACAGCGAATCACATTCAACATATAAAATGCATTTCAAAAGTTTCATATAGCTACAAACATTTGGCCGATTCACATTCACCATATTACAAACTTTTATCAAATACGCATTTATCAGAGCTGTGGAATCGAGTCACATGACTTTGGACTCGAGTCAGACTCGAGTTATTTTAATGACTTTTGACTTGATCTGATAAAATCTATAAAGACGTACGACTTGACTCGGACTTGAACGCCAATGACTTGTGACTTAAATCAACTTGCATTTGTTGGAATTGTTGATGACTTGAGCATTTTTGATATTTTAGCACAAAATTGGCACAACATGGACAAAAATCATGAATCATTCATCGTTCTGGGTTTGATCTTGTTCTGCTAAATGCAGCAGCACTTTGTTTATAATCAGTTTCAGCTGCACTTTCTGCTTGTTTGAGCAAAAAAATGAAGCTTTAAGAAGCTTTATTTCTGAAATGTATTTATTATCTGTAGCCACATTTACATGCGCACAATTAATTGGATTGAACACCCAATCAGATCAAAAATTCTGCATGTAAACATGTCAGTGGGAATGTTCTGATCCGATTCGTCCCGATCGGAATGAATTTTCAATCCTATTGAGAGAGGTGATTTTGTCCAATCATCATCCCGATTGATGTACACCACCATTCGGTTTGTTGAAATAATGCCCACTGTGCATGTGTGCAACAGCTAGTGAGCCTCCCCATCATCATTTGGACTGCCTGACTTAAAAAATGACGGCCTAATTAACGAATGCCGGCTTTTAAATATGATGGCAAACCGTCCCCGTTTCTGTAATATCTGATCCAGAAATTGCATTTTGTGGAAGAAAAATAAAAATCTGATTATTGCACAAATCATTCGGTAAACATATTCAAGTCTGTACTGAAAATATACAGATTCATTTTGGGTTTGCAGCACGGATCCCCGTTTCTGTGAACGCAGCAGCTGTTTCTGCCGCAGGTGGATGGAGATGTGCTGTAAAGAAGACAGGGTAACATCGGTTACACAGACCTGGTTTGAGTTTAAGGAGAATGATGTTGGGTAGAAAAACATCCTCAGTTAAATATTCTGGGCAACTATCTGTGTAAAATTACGTTAACGCAGATGAGAAGAGATGCGGTTCGTTTAACACATGATGAACACAGGCTTCCAGACTTTCTGAACATCTCCTGCTATTTAGTTTAAACCAACTTTTCTCAGCAGTTTCAGCTGACTGTCACATTTTATTAATAATAAGCCACAACAGAGCTCAGTAATAAAACGAGTCTGACACCCCACCCCCCCGCTCCATGCAGCGCTGCGCCAAGCCGTCATGTCAGACCCACGGACCAGCTGATCAAGAGGAAGAGACAAGGATAACCCTCCTTTATTTTAATATTATTAATAATGAAACGCAGTAAAGTATATATCTGCAGTTAAAGCATAACTTCTATGAGAAAAATAAATACATTAAATTGATTAAATGAATCAGCAAATCAGAAAAAATGGTTTATTTCTGTTTTTACATTTTAATTTCTTCATGATGTTTGTTTACACATTTTTTTTTCCAGGAAAGAAATTTCTGCGCATGCTGATTGAATACTTGGTGCATTTAAACTCAAAGCATGATCGGATCATTTCAGTTAGTGTGCATTTGAACAGAGGTTTGGGATTTCCGATCAACCAAGATTTGAATCGGACTGGGGAAATATGGCACATGTAAACGTGTCTAGTGTCATTAAATTGAAGTCGGACAAATGACTTGATTAGGACTTGAAAATTCAAAGTTAAGGACTTTGGACTCGACTTGGACTTGGTTATCTTTGACTTGGACTTGACTCTAGACTTAACAGGACTTACTTGTGACTTGCAAAGCAGTGACTTGGTCACACCTCTGGTATTTATCTCCTGTTGTGCTTCTGGTTCTGACATCCTTGTGATGATCCTATAAATCCTCTGATCTCTCCATATTCGCTTCCAGGATATGATGTTCCAGCTTCTTCAGGGTTTGGACTTCCTGCATTCACACCGCGTGGTTCACCGGGACCTGAAACCCCAAAACATTCTGGTCACCAGCGGAGGACAGATCAAACTGGCCGACTTCGGGCTGGCACGCATCTACAGCTTTCAGATGGCGCTTACGTCTGTGGTGAGTCCTGACACCTTTGAGGTTTTGCATCTGCCATACACCCAACACTGACCACTTAGCTTTCAGCCCTTCAATTGTTATGTTTTAAATATATACCTGTCTAACGGTTGTTGTTTATTTCTGTGACTAATATATGCAGGTATGTGGTGTCGTTAAAAAAACACAACTGCAAACTATTCTGATGTGCTATGGCAGGCTCACAATGTGTCGTTTTAATCTCTAGAAATAGCCATTGAAATGTTGTTGAAATTGATTGAAATAATACCCAGTTATAAAATTCAATTTCAATTCAGTTTATGTATATGCTTCAAATCACGACAAGAGTCGTCTCAAGGCACTTCACGAAGTAAACATTCCATTACAGGTCAGTTCATTAAGCCAATCAGTAAAAAGTTTCCTACATAAGGAACCCAGCAGGTTGCATCAAGTCACTGACTAGTGTCAGAGTCTTTACAGCAATCCTCATACTAAGCAAGCATGTAGCGACTGTGGAGAGGAAAACTCCCTTTTAACAGGAAGAAACCTCCAGAAGATCCTGACTCAGTGTAAGCAGCCATCCACCACGACTCACTGGGGATCAAGAAGACAGAGCGCGTGTGCACACACACACACACACACACACACACACACACACACACACACACACACACACACATACACACAACATATATGCTAACAAGTGTTTCTTTTGCTACATTGTAGGGCTGGGCGATATAGCCCAATTTCAATATCACGATATATTGAGGATTTCACTTCTAACGATAAATGGACGATAACTACAGGTATGCGCAGAGACAAAAGTTGTCCACTAGATGGGGCTGTCACATGTATTACGTTGAGTCACATTTTTACGTGACTTAAGGTGGTACAGCTTCTTAAAGGAACATGAACATTGCCAACCTACACACATCTTTTCATTTTTTAATTATCAAATGTATCGACATGGGAAAAATCATCTCGATAAGAGTCACATATTTTGATTGTGAAAAGCTGCATTGTAATTACTTAGTAGATATTCTTTTTATTAAGAAATAAACTTTATTGTCTATCTTAGTGAATCTATAATTAATTCAACAGGTAAACTAGTAGTAGCACATTCCATGTCAAAGAAAGTAAAATGTTAAAATCAGGAGAGCGAGAATGTTTTTAGCAGCAGTGTGCTAGCCGATGGCCCCCTCCATGAGGCTATCACAGTTCAGCAGAACTCCATTGTAGCTTCTTCTGGGGAGAGAAACACTTAGAGAGAAAGTAAAGTTAACAGCTGAAAGTATGTCCTCCAGCTGTCTTAGCCTATAGCAGTATAACTACAGAGATAACTCTGGATAACCTAGCCTTTTAGATGGAGGCATGTTGGAGGCACAGAGGTAGCCTGGCTAGCCAGAGCATGGGGCTGGCTACTGGAACTCTCCTATTCAAATAACCCCACCCCCTGAGAATTCTAGCCGAGCCAATCAGCGCTGAGCAACATACGTCTCACACCACGACGCTGAATTTTTCGTAAGCGTGGCAACTGGAGGGGAGTTCGTTGCGGCTCTTTTCCTCTGTTCTAAATTACTTCAACACATCTTTAAAACCACAACAAGAAGAAGCTAAAAGCCTTTCTTCTAAAGAAAGATGTTTGCACTGTCGCAAGATGCCATTTTTGACTACAGCTAAAAAACTACAGCGTCGCGCGGTACCGTCAGCATCTCTGTCCTTATTCTGAGTGGTTATTTTTGAGCTGGCTAGTCCCACCCCTCATGTGCCTCTCTGCCTGTGAGTAACCAGAATAGTTCTCTGTGTAGAACAGAGGATGAGTCTGGCAGTCCAGGCTAGCAGGGAGGAGGGGTTGAGAAAACTTGGCGGCTTCATAAAATATAACAATAAAAAAGGTCTAAAATACATGGTAGCGGGTTTATGTCACTGGGCGACACCATATTAGATGCCATGTTTCCTTCTACAGAAGCCCATGAGGACAAAATGCATTTACTGGTTTGTAACAAATGGCTACAAAACTTTCACCATTCGTTGGTTTACACATTTACCTCTTCACTCATTGCCAGTGATGTGCTTGTCTTGTTGCTGGAGTTTGTGCTTGCGGGGATTTTTGACCCTACTGAGCATCTGTTGGTAAGGTCTTACTCCAACTCAAAAACACAGCATGCTTGCAACAATTTAGGTATGTACTGCCCCCTATCGCCAGGGAAGTACACACCATCCCTTTACTGAGATGTTTAAAGTTTTAGTTTCACCAGAACTTCGTGACACCATATTTTTTTATTGGAAGCATTTGATTACATTTCTATATGTATTTTAAATTTTCACTGCCTGTAACATTTATGTATTTTATTTTAATGTCCATCCATCCACCCATCCATTTTCATCCGCTTATCCAGAGTCGGGTCGCGGGGGCAGTAGCCTAAGGCGAGAGGCCCAGACTTCCCTCTCCCCAGCCACTTGGGCCAGCTCCTCCGGGAGAATCCCAAGGCGTTCCCTGGCCAGGTGAGACACATAGTCCCTCCACCGTGTCCTGGGTCCGCCTTCAGGTCTCCTTCCGGTTGGACGTGCCCGGAAAACCTCACCAGGGAGGAGTCCAGGAGGCATCCTGACCAGATGCCCGAGCCACCTCAAATGGCTCCTCTCGATGTGGAGGAGCAGCGGGTCTACTCCGAGCCCCTCCCGAATGACCAAGCCTCTCACCCTATCTCTAAGGGAGAGCCCAGCCACTCTTCGGAGAAAACTCATTTCGGCCGCTTGTATCTGTGATCTCGTTCTTTCGGTCACTACCCAAAGCTCATGACCATAGGTGAGGGTAGGAACGTAGATCGACTGGTAAATCGAGAGCTTTGCCTTCTGACTCAGCTCTCTCTTCACCATGACATCACTGCAGATGCAGCACCAATCCGCCTATTGATCTCATACTCCAGTTTTCCCTTACTCGTGAACAAGACCCTAAGATACTTAAACTCCTCCACTTGGGGCAGGACCTCATCCCTGACCCAGAGAAGGCATTCTACCCTTTTCCGAATCAAGACCATGGTCTCAGATTTAGAGGAGCTGATTCTCATAGAGAAGAGCTGAAAGGAAGCGTTGGAATAAAGAGGCATGAAACTTTTACAATCATATGCTCTCTACAACAGAGAAAATTATGCCTTGTTTTGCTTTTTAAAGTGGAGCTTTGTTTTAGGTTCTGTAAGAGTAGACAGTATCTTACCTACAGCAGACACTGGTCAGAATGATCCATTTGGAGAATCAACCCTTTATGACAGATGGAAGTGCCGGCAATCCCATTTGCATATCTGTGTTCAAATGCTTGTAGAACTGTAACTAAATAAGATGGAACAAAAAATATTTTTTGCATATTAAACAGGAGGAGTTACGCTTATATCTCACACACTAAACACGTCCCTGAGCGCTGCGCATTTCCGCTAATGAGTTTGCAAGAAAAAAACCAAAATGCACAAATAAGAAAAGCATTTTCATTCAGACACAGATACTGTGAAGCCCTATGATCTGCAGCTCATAGGGCTTCACAGGCTAGAATAAACGTCATCACGTTGTCTACGTGAACTGTCACATGGTTATCACTCACCCAATCACCTGCTTTGACGTCCTTTTCCCACGAAGTTTACTGTTTTGTAGTTCTTTGTAGTCCCAGTCTTTAGGCTTTTTCTTGTGCTTTTTTGCAATAATACGTTTAGACAACCACATCCTACACACATCACACACCCACTACAGACTCCCGACACACACACACCACTATGAATGTTTTGATGAATCACGGACCCGCCAAACGGTGCATGCTCCCTCCTCGAAGTGGTTGACGCCATTACAGCACCGGATGATGTTTAAGTTTCAGTTTTTGTTTCCTCACATAAATATTCATGCAATATTCTTTATTATTATTATTATTATTATTATTATTATTATTATTATTAATAGTGAGAGATAAAGGAAAACTATATACTACTGAAAATTTTGCGACAAATATTCAACATTATTATATTAGACTCCTGCTGATTATTATTGTTTTTGTTTTTGTTACAGTTTATATAAATGACTGTATCTCAGAAACTAATTTATGGAAACACTTAAAATACATTTGTTGTCGTTTGAAAGGATAAAGCTGACATTTCTGTAAAATGAAAAATATGTGTAAAAACAAAACGATTTTCAATTTCTGTATGGATAATTGCAGTTGTTAGTAAAACATTTAGTTGCTTTCAGCATTTTACATATATATTATTAAAATTTTGAATGTAAGGGTTGTATTGGTGTATAGCAGGTTGAAAAACTCCAAAAATTGTCACCACAGCATGTAAAACTGTAAATATAAGATCTGGCAAACTTGTTCGATAGCAGATCTTAAAGGGTCAAGAGGAAAATCTGGTGGGAGAAATGAGCTAACAGCTGGTTCGAACTAGGGCTGGACAATAAATAAAAAAATTTATTGTTATCGAAATTTCTGACTATTAAGAATTTTTCCCATATCAATAAATTTGATTAAAAATATTTAAAAGATGTGTGTAGGTTGGCATCGTTCATGTCCCTTCAAGCTACTGTTCCACCTTGTCGTGTAAAAATGTGACTCAACGTAATACATGTGACAGCCTCATCTATTGGACAACTTTAGTTTCTGCGCATACCTGTAGTTATCGTCCGTTTATCGTTATCGAGGTGAAATCGTCAATATATCGTGATATAAGGAGCCTAAGTCACTTCCACATCATGGGTCCCCGGAAAAATGAAAAAAATGAATGTAAGTCAACGGGGCTGTAAACGCTATTTTCTAATCCGCTTTGCCTTACATCCTGGATTGCACAATTGTTGTACTGCAATTTAAATGAAAATTAATGATGGTTGTTTCGACCACACCAATCACTAACTTTGAGATGTATTTTCTTGTAAAAGTTCATTAATCGAAATCTGGGTGTTGTGATTGATGAACACCTGACCTTTAAAGATCATGTTGCCTCTGTTGCTCGTTCATGCCGCTGTATAATAAACGAAAGATCAGACCA